TATATATATATATATATATATATATATATATGCAAGTACAAGGAGTATGACCAAAGTCATAAGTCAGATAAATATGCAAGTACAATAAACAGAAACAAGGGTATCCAACATCTTTTAATGAATATTTGTAAGTTCTTATTACTTCCAGCACATAAGCCTCCCACCACCCGGCAACTCACGGTAGTAAAAAAAGGTTGAGACAAATTCTTCTTCTTTGATAACAAGAAGGCACCATTTAACCAAAATCCCAGGCCCTTAAAGGCCCTTTACTTACAAGGGAGAAAAGAAAGGAAAATCGCCAGTTGCTTCAAGCAGGTGATATACCCATCTCTCGTCCATGGAATAAAGCAATTCACATTTTTAGAGGAAGCTTATCATTCCCATTTCCCAATCAGTTCCTTTTTTTATGATGAAAAAAGAAATCAAATTTGGACACCTCTAACAAATTTATTCACTCAAGACTTTGCTCCATCTCCAGAGGCCATTCAAGAACCAAAGTTCTTCCGAGCGCATCTCCTGCACACAAAACCCTAGGAGGGACATCTATGTGTGTGTGTGTGTGTGAGAGAGAGAGAGAGAGAGAGAGAGAGATTACCGGTCGCGTGGAGAGCTGCTGCATCTTCTTCTTCGTCGTCTTCTCTTCTCTTTCTACCAATTCGAACGGAGCGGAGACCGTGAGCACCAAAGGAGCCTGATCTAGGTTTTCTTCGGGCGAGGGAGATGCTAAAGCCGTCGTGCCCAAACTGAACGGGCCACAGTGACGGGTTGACGCAACCAGGACCTAAGTACACAGTGAGCCGACATGTGCGGCCCATTTATTGGCCTCGTGGGCCTCAGTCCACTTAAGCTTCTTCCGTCCTTTGTAATCTATCTCTCACACACATATATCCCTGCAAAGCTAGTAATGTTGTCATACAGCGTTCAGGAAAAACTTGGCTTTCTGTTGTTTAAACCGAAACCTTGTACGTGGATTTCCTCTGTATTTCTCCAGGAACAGTGAAATTGCTGGAAACCTCTGTATCATGTCTGCTGCTGCTGGTTTCCTCGGTGTCCAGTTTGTGGAAGATGCCATAAACAGGAGATCTCGACGGTGCTTCGATCTGCTCAGTAAGTATAATTTAAGGCCTTGTTGTTTTTCAACGTTTGTACTCTGTCAATGTCAACGCTCACTCTTTCCTTTTTCTTTCAGGAGAAGTTAAACTGATATAAAATGGCAAAAAATGGTAGCCAAAGAATCAAAGAAGTGATCTGCTGTGCTCGGATGACAGTGCGGTGCTGAATGACAATCCATCTTCCCCACTACAGTGCAAACCATCACGGCCGTAAGCATCAAACGAGAATTAAGCTCAGAGAGGAAGAGACTTCGTGCACCAGAAAAACTCGGTTCGATAAGGATTGTGGATGTTGAAGGACGAGGTAAGTCGGATCTCACAACCATCTCCTCCCAGCAACCACCGTTTCTCCTGCTCTGTTTCCATGAACCATGAAACAGGAGCAGCTCAACTACCAAGATTCATGTGTGACAAATTATGATGTAATCCAAGTCTTCTTGTGCGCTGTCATGGAATCGACGATCCGGTAAACGACGAGGAGTTTGAACCGTGACCGGGTTCTGCAGCAGTGCGTAGCTCCAAGGGAAGAAGAGGATAGAAACAGGGCCATCGCTCGTTTCAGGTTCATGGAGATAAGATGGGCCATCGCCGTCGCCACGCGGCACGCCGAGAGCGACGCCAGAAGATTACGATGTCATCCATTTCCTCACGCCGTGTGTGGTACGCGAGGTGTGCATGTCACCCCTCGAGAACCGACGGACGAGATCGGAGACACTCGCCACCTCAAACGGATCTCACCCACGGATCAAGAGCATCCATGGAGGCGAGGTTTGGGGTTATATATAGGTGTGCCGGTGGAGAGGTGAGCCTCAGAGCAAGGAGCCTTCGTCCCGTTATAGAGTAGTAGAGTATATACGCGGCAGGTCAACGAGCAACAGCAAGAGGAATGGCTTCCTCCATGATGGTGTCCTCCGCCGCCACCGTGTCCCGGGCTTCCCCGGCTCAATCCAGCATGGTGGCGCCCTTCACCGGTCTCAAGTCCACCTCGGCCTTCCCGGTCACCAGGAAGGCCAACGCCGACCTCTCCCACCTCCCCGGCAACGGTGGCAGAGTCCAGTGCATGAAGGTAGGTAGCGGAGGAGGATGAAACCACCAGGCTTGTTATGTCCCACCGTAGTAGTTATCACAAACATTGAGTATGGGTTGCAGGTGTGGCCGATCGAGGGCAAGAAGAAGTTCGAGACCCTCTCCTACCTTCCTACACTGGTGGACGAGGCGTTGGTGAAGCAGATCGACTACCTTCTCCGCTCCAAATGGATTCCCTGCTTAGAATTCAGCCATGTAAGTACTGTCAAACTTAACCTGCCTAAGTAGGTCGTCGAGCATGCATGGGTGAGGGGGACTGATGGATGAACGCCGGTGGCCATAACAGGAGGGGTTCGTGGGGCGTGAGAACCACCGGTCGCCGGGGTACTACGACGGGCGGTACTGGACGATGTGGAAGCTGCCCATGTTCGGGTGCACCGACGCGGTGCAGGTGGTGAAGGAGGTGGAGGAGTGCAAGAAGGAGTACCCCAAGGCCTTCATCCGCATCATCGGCTTCGACAACAACCGCCAAGTGCAGTGTATCAGTTTCATCGCCTTCAAGCCCCCCGGCTACTAACTGCTCTGTTCTTTCGAATTCCTTCTTTTTGCTCATCCTTCTCTTTGCATCATCTGCTGTGTCCCAGCAGACTCTCATGTACTACGCTCGTCGTTGTTTTGTTTGGTGAACAACTCCTTATCGTCTTAAAGTATATTATCGGCGGCTTCATCGTATACGATAAACCGATACGAAGGCGTTTACTGTTCTTTTGGCAGCGGAGGAGCACCAGTCTAAAAGTTCCTTTCAACGTCAAAGGTCTCTCTCTCTCCCTCCCTCTCAATTCATCGCTGGAGATGAAGATGTGTTTGTTTGGTTCCTAGAAGGAGGAATAAGATTCAATGATAGGATAAGCTTAACATTCAAATCTATAATCTCGTCCGGTACTATCCTAAAGACGTAACCGGGCCGAGATACACATGCCGAAACGGGCCGAGATCGGAGTTTCGGCCGTTCACGACCGGGCTCAGCTAGATCAGGGTGGTCGGTCCAGACTCGCCGTGGACTCGAACCCATCATCGAAGGCTTCTTTGGCACCAAATGCCCAAATCGACACCCAGGAATCATTAAAAAACCATAGGAATCGGCACCTTCATCAATCACACAGCTTGTCTCCACCCGACCGGACGGAGGACAACCGGGTCAAAAGCCAGGCTGGGAACTCACCGACGGCTGCTCCGGTATCATTTAATGGTATCTGCCTCCATCAACTCCGAGAAAGAAGAAGACATATACTTAGATCTAATCACCCAATATGAAAAATGTGGCACCCGTCGGTTTCATGGACCCAACGAGGACGAACATTTGCACGCTGCAAACGCAGAGCCGATGAGCCTTCTTGGATCCCACGAACCCTACAAACTATTACGGTCTCCCACATGCTTTAGCTTTCACCACCAAAGTGTATGGTAAGAGCACGCACATGACGGCCATCATCTCTCGATGCCTACAGCGGTTGGCAAGTCATTTTGATGTCGAGCGGAGGCCGTGTTCATGTGGTGGCCTCGTGACACATGCGTCCACATAGGAGAGAAAGAGAGAGGATGATATCAGCAGACGTGGCTTAGACTCCACGTGTCGAAGATTATTTTCGCTGAAATGTGCACGAAGGATCTTAAATCGACGACGGGCGTGTGAGTCAACGAGCGTCCCTATCCGAATGGCCGAGCCGCGAACGATCGGAGCGAAAGCGTTGACTAATCCTAAACCACGCAGGCAAAGGAGCGTAGTCGACCAGGAATCACGAGAGTCACGAATGCCCCGTCGTGACGTTCGTCACGACTCTCATTGTATTAATCGATTTACTATTATTATTTTATTGCTAATAGTACCCGTCGTTTGTGGTTTTCCGAATTCAACGTACCATCTCTCTACCTTTTTTTGTTTTTTCTAAATTAGAATTTAATTGTTTATTGATTTATGCTTTCGCCCCTTTTCTTGGTTTTTACTTTTACCTTTTTCTTTTCGATCAGTTGATGATGCTGGTTTTTATTTTTATTATTTGTTTATCTTTCTATAAATGGGCTCCGAGTCTCTCTTTCTTCGTCGTCCCTTTGCACCGCCTTGTCCTCCTCCGATTCTCGCCGTTCCTCTCTCGCTGGTAGAGAGGTGGAGAAGGTAAATCAAGATACAATCTTTCCTTCTTCCGCATCCCCGTTTCGCGTCGTTCTTCGATCTTTAGTGGTTGCAAGCTTCTACTGTATGAGCCCTGTGCCTTCGATCCCCCTTCGTGGTATCTTCCGTGGGCTGATGTTTTCGACGAAGATAGAATTTTTACTAGTGTTCCAAGGATTAAGATCTTATTCTGTGCTTGTTCTTCGATTTTGAGTAGTCGCCGGCTTCTTCTCCATCATTTCTGAGTCTTTCGGTCACCCACGTGGTATCATGGGCTGCTATTTTATGACGAGCATCGAATTTTTACTGGTCTTGCAAGGAATTTTCCTTCTGTTTGATTTTTCTGTTGATTTATTGTCCGAAAAATGGGATTTTTGTGACGGCCTTTGATGTTTCTTCTCGCTGCTTTTTGTGGGAATTTTCGTTTGGTTTCGCTGGTTTTTCGTGTTTGTGCGAAGAGATTGAGATTGCGTGGAAAGACGGGCTTATTTTGTGGATTTGTGCGTCTACAGGCGGTTGCAGACGCGAAGCTCCAAGAGATCTGTGGACAAGATGAACCACCGCGCGATGCAACAGCAGAACGCCTCATCTGCCAGCGAAGAGATGAGGGCGCCGCTCGCGGTGGCCGATCGAAAGCCGCCCGTCTTCTGCCCTAAGCCCCGCCGGCTCAGCCCGCTTGCCGCCGTCGCTGAACCGGTCCTACCCTTCCGTTGGCTCTCGAGGCATGGTTCTCCTCTCTTTCTCGTCCCCAACTCTTAACCCTTTACATCGCGAGTCCCTCTCCTTTTTATTTCCCTGCCTGACTCCCGTCTCTCTCCCTGTTTGATTCAGTCATCAAACCGATTTCTCCGATTCGAAGGCCGGGGCGGACCTCCATGGCATATTTCTCGCAAAGGTGAGGTTTTTCGTCGACCTCCGTACCTACTCGTGAGGGTCTTCTTCGGTAGCAGAAGATCCAACCCGAACGGTTTTCGTTTTCAGGGCGGGGAGCAGAATCAAGTGTCCTCGTCACCGCCGTTCTTCTGCGGCTCGCCACCGAGCCGTGCCGCGAACCCGGTCGTCCACGACGCCCGGTTCGGCGACGACCGCCCGCCGGCAGCCTTCGCCCCTGTACCACTAATCCAGTCAGGTCCGCCGCTCTCCCCCAAGCAGGGCTGTGCCCACGCCAAGTTCGGCCTCATGCCGGCGGCCGTGCGCATCGAGGGTTTTGATTGCCTCAACCGCGACCGCCGGAGCTGCAGCAGCATCACTGCCGTGGCCTGAACAGCCCTGCCCGCGCTTCCTGCTTTATTTTTGGAGCGCCGTGTGAGAGGAAGAAGAAGAAGAAGAAGATAACATTAACACCAAGAAATCAAAAACAACAATTAGGTGCTAAGCACGAGCAGAGAAGCACCAAGTGTTTCATCCCGAGGTGGAGCTCTGTTATTTGTGACTGTACATTTTCCATTTGTAATCGAGGTAATTATGTAGATACAAAATTAAGTGATCGCGAGAGAGATGGGAAGGGAAGCCAATATTTTGGTGTTTT